TGTTGGGTTTCAAACCTTGTTTGAGTTGATTGTTTTCTTAAGATGTTGTGAAGTTGTTGCTAGTTGGCGATTTCTCTGTTCTGTTATATGTTTTAGTATATGTAGTGTATATATGCAGTATATGTTCAATATATGTACGTCTTATGAATATGTAACATAATCCCAGATTAGTATATGTTGAGTTTATTTTTAGCATAATTAAAACAAAGGACATCATATTAAGTTTAAATTTCACCTTCTTCCTAAAACAAAGGACACGGTTATGTTGAGTTTAAAAGTTAGTATAAATTTTCATGTCTTGAAAGGCAGTATATATTGAGTTTATATTTAGTATATATTTAGCATATGTTGCAATAATCTCTTAAAAAAAATTATTCATTTGTTACTTTCGCCTTCAATAAAATATTCTCTTAATATACTACGTATAAACTCAACATATACTAATCCGGATTATGTTTTGGATATATTTCCATTTCATATATAATGGACTCATATTTTAATGTTCCCATTTAATACCGACATTATATTTTCTTCAGTGCAACATATCCTGAATATATACTAACATAAACGCAATATATACCACCTGACAACTGCGTGAATTAAGGAATTCTAGCTGCACACATATACTGAATATATACTAACATATACTCAATATATACCATCTGACAACTGCGTGAATTAAGGAATTCCAGCTGCGCACATATACTGAATATACACTAATATATACTCAACATATACCACATGAGCTGCGTGAATTAAAAAATTTCAATTGCGCGGAATTAAATGAGTTAGTTATTTATTATAAGCATGTTTTTCATTTCTCTCTCTTAATCAATTCCATAAAAAGGGGGATGGATGTTGAAGATTATAGTAACTGAATTTAAGCATTAATGCTACTTATTATCTATTAGGTAGATTTGTAATTATTTGTTTATGGATTGTATACTAGTACAATACCCGTGTATTACACGGGTGCTTGTTAAAAAATTATTCTTATTTTAAAATTAATGAGAAAATTATATTAAATTTAGTTCACTTTTTTACAAAAAAAAAAATTATTACTATATATTTTAGAATGATATGTGCTACTTATGACTTACATGTGGTATATTATATTAGTTTTTATAACTTATATCATATAACTACTTGAAATATCCCCCTATAAAGATAAATATAAATTATTTTTTTTATACATACAATATGGATGTTAAATCGAAGCTTATCAAAAGAAGATTAATTTGATATATTACATATGTAAAACTGATAAAAATACAAAAATTATTAACTTTTTAAATATATATACAATTCAATAGTTATAATAAGGAATGATATTAAAATACAATTAATACATGTAACATGACCATAAATAATCAACATATTTATGGTAATCCGAACCTAATTATTTTTGGTTTGGAATTAAATTAAAATTTACCCAAGCCTAATAATAAAGCATGTAATTTTGCCACATAGGATTCCGAAGCACCAGAAGCAGCCACGTAGGCTCAGCGCATTCTGTATTAATATATAGGGGGGATTTGCAATATTTTTAGAATCATGTAGGATAGATGAAAATTTCCCTTAGCTTATTAGTCCACCAAATATAGCCCAATTGTATCATTTCCGTTAATAAGTATTATGGTGAACAAGGTAATTTCTTTAGGGAAATTTACACACATAGATCATGTATCATACTTATTTTTAAAATTACGATTTCATGAATCTTTTATCCAATGTCGGATTATGTGGATAGGTATTATTAAATATACGATGTCTTTTACTTTTTCAAACTTATACACTTAATTAATGGTCCGATACTTAAGCATTCCGAACGACTTTTATGTTTTTTTTTTTTCCTTTTCTTTTAAAGCTGGTATATAAAACAAAAAATTCCAAATATGATACTTTACATATTGTCTCGGAGATTTTACAAATTTGAAACAAAACAGAGAAGATGATATTCATCCCCATTTTTGTTTGAATTGTAGATCAAATGATTTTCGATAGGTAAACC